ACTGGTCTGTTTCCAAGGGTTTCTCATAGACATGGAATCATGAAGTACATAGTCTTTTATCTGACCTCTTCCGCTTAGCATACTGTATGTGGGCTTTCACCCATTTTGTTAAAGATATTAGCAGTTTGTTCTTTTTATTGCTGAACAGTATTCCATGGTATGGAAGTACCGCAGTTTGTTGATCCAGTCACCAGCCAAAGGGCTTTAGGGTTGTTTCTAGTTTTAGTTTATTGTGAGTAAAACCGTTATGAACATTCACATAAAGGTTTTGGGATAAATTAAGTTTTCATCTCAGCTAAATACCTAGGAGAGGGATTACTGTATCATATAGTAAGAGTATGCTTAACTTTGTAAGTTATCAAACTGTCTTCCAAAGTGATTGTTCTATTTTGCTTTCCCATCTGCAGTGTATGGGAATTCCAGATGCTCTGCACTTAGTACTGTCAGGTTTAAAAAAAAAAAAACATTTTAATAAGTATATAGTGGTACCTTACCTGTAGTTTAATTTGCATTCCCTAACAACTAATGCTGTTGAGCATCTTTTTAGTGTACTTATTTGCCATCCATATGTCTTCTGTGAAGTATGTTCACATATTTTATCTATTTTTAAAACTGAGTTATTTATTTATTTAGTATTGAATTTTAAAAGCTCTTTGTATTTTTTTAAATACAAGTCCTTTGTTAGATGTATAATATGCAAATATTTCGTCCAGGCTGTGGCTTGTTTTCCCATTCTTTTAACAGTGTCTTTTGCAGAGAAGTGTTTAATTTTGACGAAGTCCAATCTTTATCTCTGTTATGGATCATTGCTTTTGTTATTGTATCTAAGAAATTTTTGCCTAACCCAAGTTCACTGAGTTTTGTTTTGTTGTTTTTTCTTCTTTCTTTCTAGTTTTGTATTTTACATTTAGGTATATGACCCATTTTTAGTTACTTTGTAGAAGGTGAAAAGTCTGAACTGAGGATCAATTTTTGCCTATGGACATCCAATTGTTTGAGTACCAACAGTTGAAAATACTATCATTTCTCCATTGAATTGTGTTTGCACCTTTGTCAAGAATCAATTAGCCAATTTGATCTATTTCTGGAATCTCTCTTCTATTCCATTAATCCCATATCTGTCTTTTCACCAGTACCACATGGTACTAACCACTATAGATTTATAATAACTCTTGAAATCAGATATTATGAATTCTCCAAATTTGTTCTTTTTTTCTAACACTTTTGGAGTTATTTTAGGTCCTTTTTCTTTCCATATCAGTTTTAGAGATGCTGTCTAATAAAAACAATAATTCTACTGGAACTTTGATTAGGGTTGCATTGAATCTATACACCAGTTGTGGGAGAACTGACATCTTTATGATACTGAGTCTTCCAATCGAGAGACACAGTATCTCTCCATTTCTTTAGGTATTTGCTATCTTTCATCAGTGTTTTACAGTTTTAAGTATACAGAAAATGCATATTGTTAAGTATATACTAAACATTTCCACTTTTAAGGGTATTAAAGTGGTACTATTTTTAGAGGCAAATAATACTATCTTTTTGTTGTTGTTGTTCATTGTTAGTATATAGAAATACTATTGCCATTTGCATGTTGACCTTGTATCCTGCAACCTAATAACTAAAATTACTCATTACTTCTGGTAACTTTTTGGCAGATTCTTTGGGATTTTCTATATATTACCTAACACCTAAATGGTACCTAAATAGAAAATGTCTGAATAGAGTTTTGTTCCTTCCTTTCTAAGCTGTATGGCTTTTCGGCCTTGCCTCCCTAGCTAAAACCTACAGCGTCATGCTGAGTAGAAGGGGGAGAGGGAGCATCCTTGGCTTGTTCACAATCTCAGGAAAATCATTTAGTCTTTCATCATTTAAGTATAATGTAGGGTTTTTGGTAGATGTCTATTATGAAATTAAGGACATCTATTCCTAGTTTTCTAAGAGTTTTTAATCATGAATGGATTTTGGGTTTTCTCAAATACTTATTCTGCATCTATTGAGATTATTATCCCAGTACTCTTAATATTATTTTTATGCTTAGATCTCATTACCAATGAAATAGGTAAATTCTTAATTTATGCTTAAATCCCCACCTGGGATTTATTTTTTATACTATATATAGAAGCGACTGAGCTTTATTTTCCTCCAAATGGTTAACTAATTATGGAAACCCTTCAATAAATTGACTATCATTTCTCCACTTATTTTAGAGATCACTTTTATTATACAATGAACTCTCATATAAATAAGAGGTTCTGTTTCTGGACCATCTCTTTTATTTTATCAATTTATTGCCAGTCTATGCTGAATCAGTTACTAAAACTTGATATATTTTAATACTTGCTAGAAAAATGTTATTCCTGCCATTTTTTCTTTTCTGGATGAATTTGAATTATCTTGCCAAATTGTATCATAAACTTGTTGATATACTGTTCATGGTAGCATTAAATATGTAAATTGGAGGAAGTAATTATTATAGCACTGAGCTTTTCTGTTAAGAAACAGTATTTTTCCAATTGGTAAGGCCTTTATGTGTAAACTTCAATTCTGTTTTATACTTTCCTTCGTGAGGATTTTTACATCTTCATGATCTTTATATCTTTATACCTTGCCAATATCTTACTAGTTCTAAAGTTCCTCACTTTTCTTAAATTTCTCCAGTTAGATGGAAATATCATCTGTCAAAGTGACAGTTCTATATTTTTCTTCCCAATAGTTATATATCTTATTTCTTGCCTTTTCTTCATTATTGTATTGAATGGGACATTCGATGCTAAATAGTAGCGGTACGAACTGAATCTGTATTGTTCCTCATTTTAATGGGAATGTTTTAGGTATTTCATGATTAAGCACTGTTTGTTGAAGATTTCGGTACAGACAACTTTCCAAATGTAGGACTCTTTCTTCTATGACCTATTTATTAAAATGATTTCCATTTTAAACTAGGAATGTGTGTTGCATTTCATCAACTACTTTTCTTGGGTATCTTGGGTATCATCTTTTTTCTCTTCAGAGAATACTAGGAATTTTATTGATGTATTATTTTCTAATTGCTCTTTCTCTGCTGGGATAAGCTCAACTTGGGTATGATGCAGTATTCTTTTAATATTCTGCTAGACTGATATGCTACAAGTTACTTAGAAATTTTGAATTCATGTTAATAAGTGAGATTTACTTTTTAAAAAAATGTTCATCTGATTTCACAACTAGGGTTATATCTACCTCTTAAATGGACTGGAAAGCTTCCTCTCTGTTTTAATGGACTAGAACCATTTCTGCCACATAGGAAATACCTAGTCCTTCATTTTGGTAGCTCCAGATTGCAAAACTACTTGGATCTGGTGCTTTTTTCTTTCCTAAAGTAGATTTTAAATTATATTTCCATTTATTTTTAGGTGATGGCCCATAAGTTTTCTCCCTCTTACTGAACCAACTTTGGTGATGTGCATTTTTATAGGCCAAACATTTCTCCTTAATTTTTAATGGCATTTATTGAAAATTATACATAACAATCATTCACCTTTCCCCACATTTCTTGTTCCTTACAGTATTTGTATCTTCTCCTTTTTTCTTAATCTGATTCACCAAAACTTTACCTATTTCATTGGTCTTGACAAAGAAACAGTAATCAGTTTTTGTAATGAAGTCTAATTTTTAAAAATGTCATTCATGTCTACATTTATTCTTTTTCTCTTTCATTTCTTTGGATTTACTTCCCCTGTTCTTTTTCTAGCTTTTGAGCCAAATGCTTACTTATTTATTTTCACAATTTGTTTTCTACAAGCACTTAAAGCTGTAAGTCTTTCTATTTGTACCACTGTGGCAGCACTCACAGATCTTGAAATGTAGTGTGCTCATTTGTTCAGTTCTAAGTAGTTTGTAATTTCAATTTTAATTCCTCTTTAATCCAAGTTTTCAAGAGGATAGAGGTTTTTTTTCGGTTTGTTATTTTTACTGTTTTTCTTGTTGGTACATGATAACTGTGCATGTGGTCAGTGAATGTAGGTTGTATAATTTCTACTTTATAGAATCTATTGAAATTTTCTTTGTAAATAGTCATTTAGATTTAAATATATATATACCCATTGTTTGAGTATAAAGCTTCTTAACAATGTTAATCAAACTTCCTTATATTTTTCCTACTTGAAATGTTAATTTGGTTTGTTTGTTGCATCTGTTTCTATTATTTAATTTTAAATCCCTGGTTATTTTATTTCAGGTGTTTGGGATAAACAGCACATAGCTCTTTATGGCTCAGGGGCTTTCTTTTCCAGTCTGAGGGGCTCCATCTTGTCACAGGGTTAGGAAATTCATTCACATTGTGATTACTGACACTCAGACTAATGCCTGCACTTTATTTTGTGTATTATGCTTTGTTACTACTTTGTTACAGTTTCTTCTTTACTGGCTCGACTCCCCTCCCCTGTTAAATTGATAACACTTTCTTGTGTTTTTCTTTTATGGTTAGGAAGTTATATATCCTATTCAATTTTTCCAGCAGCTACTCTAATTCTTCAGCACATACTTAAATTTGTTTTATAAAACCAGCACCTTCTATTAGTGAATATAACTTGCTTCTCTCCAAACAAGTGCAGAGGCTTTTCATGCATTTACTTTTCTTCTCTCCCCGGACAGCCTCCCAAGTAGGGATCATTAGGATTTTAATTTCAGATTCTGTTCTCTCTCTCTCTCTCTCTCTCTCTCTCTCTCTTTCTCTCTCTCTCTCTCTCTCTCTGTGTGTTTCCACTCTAGTCAGTCAACAGTGGTTTTAAATTTCACCACAAGTTTTGCTTTGTGTTCTCACCAGATTTCGTGTCCCTCATGCTTCCTCTTTGATTTATTTTTCATTTTCCTGAAATACATTGTTCAGTTATTTTTCCAGAGAGGGTGTTTGAGTGGTATATTTTCTGAATGCTTACATTTCTGAAAGTGTTTTTATTTTGCTCACACTTGAATGGTAAGTTCACCTGGGTATAGAATTCTAAGTTCAAAATAATTTTCCCTCAGAGCCGTGAAAGCCTTGCTCCATTGTCTCCCTGAATCCATGGTTGCTGAAGAGCAGCTCTCCGTCCTAATGGCTGCATACGCACTGCTCTCCTGGAGACTAGACAGCAGAATAAAAGAGAAGTCGAACTGAGTGTTCCTCGGGCTGCTTCACCCCACAGCCCCGCCAATGTCACTTTTTAATCATTCATTCATTTAGCAAATTTTTTTTTGTGCATGCAAGTTTCCAGGCTGTGTACTGGGATTTTTTTTTTAAATAAAATATTTCATGCACACAGAAAAGTGTAGAGAATAATACAGTAAACAGGAGTGTATCCACCACCCATATTGACAAATCTTATCATATTTTATTTGCTTCAGGTTTTCAAAAAATAAATAAAACATGAAAGAATATGTTGAAATCCCATTCCCTTTCCTCCAACACCAGAGTTAATTACTGCCTCAAATTTGTTTTTTATCACATCCATTGATGAATTATACTTTTACTATATGGATATATTATGGACATACAGGGATGGTAATACACAAACAGTATATAATAACTAATATAGTGCTTGCTACAGATGATCTAATCACATTACCTATATTAAGTAATTAAGTTCCTACTACAACTCAATGAAGTAGGTACTATTATTATCTCTTTCTTATAAATGAGGAGAAATAACTTAATCAAGGTCACATAGCTGGTACCAGCTAAACAATGGCACCACAACCTGGCAGTCTGGCTGCAGAGCATGTGCTTTTAACAACTATACATGCTAATTTAGTAATAATCCCCGTGTACTTAACCTTTGGGTAAATGCTATTATATTAGACACAGAGTTCTAAAATCTTGGGGTTTTTTCTGTCCTGTTTACTGAACAGAAAACATCTAATACCTAATTAGTTTCAGTTCATTTGTTTTTAGTACTGTATGATATTGCCTTGCATTTTTATGAATATTTAGATTGTTTCAAATATTTGCAGCAAATGTTTTATTGAATATATCTGTAGCTGTGTCATAGGGCAAAAGACAAGAGGTCCTCTAAGGTATATATCCAGACATGAAATTTCTAAGGGTCTGCACACTGTCAGCTCTACCAGTTATTGTCAGATTGCTGCTCCAACTTATCGTCCTCCATGGGAAAGGACAGGGTCCTGGTTCTCGTGCTGGGATTTGAATATGACTTGTTAGACTCCACACATATTGCTGAACTATTGGGCCATCATACTGTAGAACCTTCTATCACCCACTTTTTTCTGTTCTAATATGGACACCTCAGTTGGGTTTTTGCTCTCAGTCTGACTACACAGAAATTTTTACTGATTATTTACTATGAGCTATGTCTTCCTGTCAATGGTTATTTTTTAAAGCCCACAACACTATAGGCACCAAAAAGTATTTGAAATTAGTCAAACAAACGTTCACCCCTTTTTCAAAAGGTCATGTGTACTTAACTTATACTTGTAAATTACCATGAGCCTGAGTGTAATATGAAAGAAATTCAGCTGGATCTAAAAGAAGTCTGGCAGCTAAGAACATAGGGCTTTTACCAAGAATTGAAATTGAATCCAAAACAATAGGTCTAAATTATTAAATTATGTAAAATAGAAAATGTTCAATTGTTAGAGTTAATACTAAACTATTACTTTAAAAAATAATGTCTTATTATTCTACTAAAAAAAGTATTATACAAATAATTATATGTGGCATTTTGAGAAACTCTACCAAGAGTTAGAATTCCCGTCCTCCAGGAATATACATACAAAAGTATGTAGCTTTAAAAAAAGAATCCTTTTATCCTGTTGCTCAGCCAGAAATGCAAGCCAAACTTCAAACTGCAAAAGCTTCAAACTTAGAGATCCAACTGCCTACTCAGCATCTCCACTGCAATGCCTAAAGGGACCTCAGAGTCTCCAAAACCCACCTCCCACTTCCCAGCTGCTATATCCTGCTCCTTCTAAAGTCCCCTCATCCCCAAAGAAGTACATTCTTTCAGTTGCTGGGCTGAAATTCTTACAGTCATTTGTGAGTCTTAACCTTCTCTCCTACCCTATGTCCAACCCTCTGCAAGCAGCTGTCCCTCACTTTGCCTGCAAAAGACATCTGGACACTGACCATATCTCCCAGCCTTCATTGGTCCCACACTGGTCTAAAGCACCGTCATCTTTTGCTTGGATTTCTGCAATGGCTGAGCAACTAGTCTCCTGCTTCCACTGTTGCTCATGCCCTCCTTTATTCACTACACAGCAACCAGTGTGATCCTCTACAAAGTAATTCAGATCATGTCACTGCTCAAAGTTCTCCCTCAGACTTCCTGCCTCACTCTTTACGTGGGTTTCCAAGGCCCTACATGACTCACTTCCCACCTGCCCAGGTCCCTGAGCTCACTCATCTCTTACCATGCTCCTATTATCTTTCCTTTCACTTACTCTGTGTCACCCTTGTAGAATAATGGCTCCCCAAGATGTCCACAGCCTAATACCCAGAGCCTAAGAAGATGCTACAGTATTACCATAGTTTGACCAAAAGATGATGGTGATGTGGATGAGGGTGTTGGCAGGGAAAATGAGAAAAGTGAATAGTCAAAATATATTTTGAAGGTAGAATGAACCAATTGTGAAGATGAATTAAATGTGGGGGACTGATGGAAAGGGAGGGATCAAGAATGACACCCAATTTCCTAGCTTGAGGAACAGGATGGATGAAAGTGCAATTTACTGAGCAGGGAAGAATGCAGGAAGAGTAGGTATGAGGGCAGCAACCGAGAATTCGGCTCTTGAATATATTAAGCCTGAAATATCTATGAGGGGTGGGGAGCAATCAAATAGCCAGAGGGATAAATAAGACTGCCTGACATCCCTGGAAAATGGATCTGGTGTAAAGATGATAATTTCATAAGCTGTTGGCATGCAGATGTACCTAAGTCATGGGAAGTGTTAAAAATTACCTACAGAGACTGGGTAGGATTGAGAAAAGGGCTTTGTATAGATTTCTGTAGAACTTAATTGTAAAGAGTAAGTAAAGGAGAAGAAATGAGCCATTAAGATAGAGAGGGAATATTTACAAAGAAGAAAGCCCTAAAAGCCACAAGAATGTAGTACAGAAACCAAAAGAGAGAGAGAGAGAGAGAGAGAGAGAGAATGTTTCATGGATTACTAGAGTGCTCTAAGAGTTTTAGTAATTTGAGGATTGGATTTAGCAATTTGGAGGTGAATGCTGATATTTTTCTTTTTGAAAATAAAGATTTTTTGTGGTAAAATATATATAACAAAATTTACTATTCTAACCATTTTTAGGTGTACAGTTCAATAACATTAGGTATTCTCAAATTTTTGTGCATTTTGTATGTATATTCCTGTGCAAGAAAAATTGCTGTAGCAAAATCAGGTCTAAATATTGGGGCAATTTTAATAATACTCTGTGCCTGGGAATAAGAAAGTAGTGACAGAAAATACAGAATATATTCAGCTCTTGAGAAATTTGGCTTTGAAGGGGAATATGGCAGTGTGGCCATAGTGAGAGGACAATAGAGAGTCAAGAAAGAAAGACAGAGGCATTTTTTTAATTGGAGATATTAATCCATTATTGAATGTTGATTCAAATTATTCGGTGGAGGAGAGACAGAAGATGCTGGAGACAGAGGATATATTATGGATTGTGGACCCTGAAAAAGTAAGAAGTCATGGGGCTGTAACTCAGGGGAATGAACTGGCTTTTGCCAAAAGGTAGGAAGGAGAATGGCACAGAGGCAAACAAGTTAGCAATATTTCTGGGAATGTTGAATGTCTGCTTGCAATTAGTAATCATGAATGAATCATGGTACTAATTTGTCAGTTTATAGATTCCTACTCATTTATTCTATATACATTTACAGAATGCCTTCTATGCACCTCCTTTGAGTCACTTGTGACCAAAGGGATGGACAGGTCAGCCTCTCAAAGCCTAGAGGAGCATTTTTTTATGTTGTTCCTGGAAGCTTTTGAATGGGCTTGGGAGAGATATTATGTCTGTAACATGTACGTCAAGGCCATGGTAGACACTATGCTGAGAAATTACCATTATTCTACTTTCCATTTCAAATAATCCCCCTCTATATTCCAAAGCCAGTTCCTAGGAGGTTACACACGTGCCCTGGTTACAGAATAGCTTGTGATGGAGCAAGCTGTAGGGACCCTGAACCCTTCTCTGCTTGAACAACTAATGCCCTGCCCATCATCCAGTGAATCCGCTGATCCCAAGAAGCAACAATAAACAACATGAAAACTCCCCCCCCTTTCCAGTGAAACTCGCTATATACAAGGCATCTCTTTTCTGCAATTCCCTCCAATCCTGCTGCTTCTCAGCCACAGACCTCCTCTCAGGGGGTCCTGCTCAGCAATCAGACTGGGTATCTGCCACTGCACATAGAGGAGCCACTTCAGCATCCTCCCAGGCAGTATTAGTGTTCAAATCCAAATCTCTCATTTGCATGGTTTTTCCAAAATTCAGGAGGATCTTGCCGATAATTTGCAATATCAGCACCACATCCACAAATTAAGAAAAATATAAGCAAGAGCAGGAAGTTTTTACTTATTTATTTTTGTTCACTATTGTAACTCCTGGTGCCTAGAAGAAAGCTTGGCATACAAAAAACCATCAGTGTGAATGAGATGAATGGATGAATATCTAGAATCGTATGTCAACCCAACAACTGAACCCTCACTGGTGAAACATTTCCAGATCCTCACAACACTGCTTAAAAACTGCCTGTTTTCTGGTACCACTTACCTTAAACACAGAGGCACCTCCTTTCTTTTAGAAAGAGTTTCCCTTTGGTGATCACCTGCACAAAAGGAAATATTATCTTTTTGGCATTGTTGGTAGGAAAGATCCTGTTATCCAGGGAACGCACCCCTTCTGAACTAGTGTGTAAGAAATCACAGTGGAATTACGAAGTATTTAGAGCTGAATAACCACAAAAGCACTATTTGTAAACCTTGTGGGACACAGATAAGCAAGGGAAATTTCTCTTCAAGAGGAATTTATAGCCCTAAATTATATTTTAGAAAACAATAAAGACTGGAAATTCATGTGGAATTTAATTTGAAAAGCTTTTTCTAAAAAAAAAATAATAACACAAACCCAACAAAAGTGTGAGAGAATAAAAATAAGTGCAGAAATTAAACAAATATATTTTTAAGAGGAAACAGATGTGTCAACAAAATCCGGCTATTTAGAAAGACAAAAAAGAAAAAACAGAAAATTCACAAATATATAATATCAGGAATGAAAAGTAGGCTATAACTATAGATGCTATAGATAATTTTAAAATAGTAAGAAAATGCTGTGACAAATATACCAAAACTTGGAAGGCTTAAATGTAATATCTGATTTTTAAAGAAAAACGTGAATTACCCAAATTGGCTCAAGAAGAAATGGAAAACCCAAATAAACTAACAACCGTTAGAGCAGTTGAATTGGATTTCAAAATATGATGCTTTCACAGATGATATTTACCAAACATTCAAGGAACAAATACTACCTATCTCATACAAACTGTTACAGAAAATAGAAAAAGAGACATTTCCAAATGCATTTTATGAGCGTAGTATAATGCTGATACCAAACTGCAAGAAACTTATAAGCCAATATCACTTTTGGACATAGATGCTATAATAAAGCATTTGCAAATTGTACGAAGCAGTGTATTAAAGAATAATAGTACATTATGGCAAAACAAGGTGGATCTCAAAGAACGGAAGGACAGATCCACATAAGAAAAGTCTGCAAAGTGATCCATTACATTAACATGTCAAAGACAAAATCTAATCACCTCAGTAGTTTTAGAAAAGGCATTTAATACAATTCAATATTCACTTCGTAGGAATTTTAGAAAATATTCCTACTTTCAACTCAACTGGAATAGAAGGAACTACTTAACCTGATAAAGGGTTTCTACCAAAACTTTACAACAAATATAAATGATGATGACACATTAGAAACATGCTCAATTAAGACAGAAATTGGAAAATAATGCTTGCTTCTCACCTTTATTATTTGATGTGATACTGGAGATCCCAACCTAACCAATGAGATATGAAAGAGAAAAAGTATTAAGAGTGTTTTGTATAGATAACATGATTATCTACATGAAGATACCAAAGAACATGCAAATAAGCTATTTAATGAGAAAGTTCAGCATGTTTGCTAAAATAAGATAATATTTCCAAACAGCAACAAATAACCAATTAAAACATTTAAAAAGAATCCCACTTAGAACACTAACAAAAACTGTAAGGTACCTAGGAATAAATCTAACAAGAAGTACAAGAGTTATATATACAAATTATAAAATGTTATTGAAGGATATGAAGAAATCAGAATAATACTAATGTATTGGATGGCTCAATTTTATAAAGATGTCCTATCTCCCCAAGCTTAATCTATAAATTTAACCCAGCAAAATACCAAGGGTTTCCCAATGGAAGTTTAAAAACAGATGCTAAAGTTAGTATGGAAGAGTAGAAGTCCAAAAATAGCCAGTACAATTTTTTTAAATTAACAAAAAGAGGAAATGCCCTTCCAGACATGAAGACTTATTATAAAGCCATAAGAATTAAAACAGTATGGTATTGGGTCAGAATTGGTTTGATCAGTGGAAAAAGACAAAGAAGGAACATATTGATGACTATATGGAAATTTAATTTACATCATAGTGGCAAAACACATTATGAGGGAAATGAAAGACTATTTAGTAAATCAGGTAAGGACAACAGGTTTCCATATGGGGAAGAGAAGGAATAAAATTAAATTCATGCTTGCCACCATTCAGAAAGTCCCAGGTGGATCAATTTTACAAGTGTGGAAAGCAAAACTTTAAAACATTAAAGAAAAAATTATAAAAGGCTATTTCATGGCATCAGGCATGAAGGAATTTGTTTAATAAGACACAAATGACACAGACGATAAAGATGTATTAACGTTTATGATATGAATATGACTACATATTATAAAGACACCAAAAGCAGTTAAAAGAGGATCCACAGAATGAGAAAATATAATTTTTATACACATGAACTCTTACAAATAAAGAGAAAGGTGAAAATATACACAGCCCACTGGGAAAATGGATGAGGTCTGTGAAAAAACAAATCACAGAATTAGGAACCTTAACAGCCAATCAATATATGAAGAAATGCTCAACCTCACTACCAGTGAGGGAAATTCAAACAAAACAACAAAATACTGGATTTTTAAAAAATCAGATTGTCAGAAATAAGAAAAGTCTGAATCCAGAAAGTGTTGAAGGTCATGTGAGGGAAACAAGAACTCTCATAACTGCTCATGGGTGTGTAAATTCAAGAACCATTTGGCAGTCCCTAATAAAGCCAAAAATGTATGTGTAGCCTAGCAATTATCCATCTAGGTAGATACACACAGAAATTCTCACATATGTGCAAGAGACACGTGGACACGTACATTCAAATTAGCACTGCCTGTAATACCATAATATTGGCAGCAGCTTAAATATTCATCAATAGGGGAATGAATCAACACAGCACATTCATATGCATGGATCCACAATATAGCAATTAAAATGAATGAACTGGATTTATATTTAACATGGAAAGAAAGAATAAAAACATACTATGAAGGAAAAAAAATTAGTCACAGAATATTTACAGCCTAACACCACACATGTACATTAAAAAAACAAAGCAATATTCTGTATTTTTATAGATTCATATGCAGTAAAAGTATAAAACCTAGACTAGAAAATTACATGCCAACTTCACAATAGTGTGTGCCTTTGGGGAAAAGGATGGAGGACTACAAAGGGGCTTCAATTTTATCAGAAATGTTGAATAGTTCCATTTAAAAAAAAACATATGGCAATATGTTGACATTTATCAGTTATACTGGATAGGTACCTGGGTGCTTGTAATAGTCTCTCTGCATTTTAAATACCTTACATTTTCTCCAAATAGTAAAATTAAAAGAAAAACAGCTAGTAAAGAATTCTACCTCTGATAAACTTTTAAGATGTGTAGATTGGGAGTTAATTGTCATCTTGAGGCAAGGAACTTTGTAATCATTACCTGTTAGATAATTAGATTAATAGAATAGAATCTCCACAAAAATAATAAAGCTGACAATATTATACAACTACTGAGAAGAATAAAGTAGATTCTTTAATATAGGAAACATGGATAGTTCTCAAAACCATACAGAGGGGGAAAAAGTTGCAAAATGACATGACACTACTGTACTATTTGTAAATAAATTTGAAATGCATAAGCATGGTATAATATTTACATATAATCATACAGGTAATTAGGTAAACAAGGCATAATAACAAATGCTGGAAAAATACACACTTTGTAATACTGATTATCTAGGCAAGAGGAGGGAGAAGTTGAGTCCGACTTGGGAGAGAAAGTGACATTCAACTCTATCTGTAATCTTTCAATAAAAAACCTGAAGCAAATATGACACATATTTCACATTTGATTATTCTAAGAAGTAAACACATGACTGTATGTTATTCTTGATGTATATATATTCTTAATTTTCAACAGAAAAAGTACTGAATTACAAATAAAATGAGCATAATTCTCCAATATATAAGTAAAGCCTATGTACATCAAAACCCAAGCTCTGACCATTTTTAGATATTATCCTGCTTGCTTTTCTGTGTTTTTAATTTTTTTAAAATCAAAGGAGGCAGAAAATGAAAGCAATGAAGAAATGTTTGAAAAATTATACATATATGATTATAATGAAAGAAAAAACCTCCAGTCACAAAACACCATATGAGCAATTCTATAACATTTGCTATGTTTTCTTACTTTTAATTTTTGTCAAAAGAAAAATAAAAGACGCCACCTAATTGGAAACGTGACTTTCTATTATTAAAATTGTGGGAGTCCATTTTAATGTGTTTATCTCGCTGCTAGTCTATAATTTATATTTCAGCGTGGAAATTTGTTTGGATGCCTGTGACAGGTTAATGCAGTTTAAACATGCATTTTTCTTTCGTTGGCTGAATAGTTAAATCGTTACTCAAAGGATTTTAAGTTTCAATTTCAATCATGAGAGGATTCTTTGCTTTTTCAAGGTTAAAAATGTTTCTGGGGCAAATGCCATTAAATAATGGGTACCTAGTGGATCTATTTAGGGAATTGGTACCGACTCTGGCTTAACAGTGGAACCGTTAAATGAGAAAACTTCTTTGGTGCGGACTTGGGGGTTAGTTTAAATTTGGTCTGAGAGCGGAGGACAGAAGTGAAATGCAATTCCAGCCCTCCTAACTAACGATCGTAATTATGAATCGCAAGACATGTCAGGTATTAGCAATTTTTTCCCCCTTAAAAAAAAGTTTCTCCGACTCCGCCGGACACCCAGCTGGCGGAGGACCAGCGGGCGAAGGGGGGACGAAGCCGGCAGGCTGCCCAGAAGTTACGATCGGGGAGTTTTCTCTTTATTAAAATTACCTGGCTCGCCAGCAGAGGCAAGAATGCGAAGACAAGATAATTTCCCAGGCTGTTAAAAATGACTTAGACCGGTGGGCCGCGCGTTCCGAGGGGGTGTCCTGCGGGCCGGGGCGGGTCCGCCGCCCCCGCGGCTCCGGTGCGTCAGGGGCGCGTCAGGCGGGGCGGGCTCCGCGCGGGCGGCGGCGGCGGCGGCGGGCGGCGCGCGCCGGGCCTCCTGCTTGTCGCTCCGCGGCTGCGGGACGGACCCTCCCGAGAAGTCTCTCGCCCGCGGCCGGCCGCGCTCGGACGGCGCCCGCCGGCGGCCGGGCGGTGCCAGCATGTCGGCGGCCGTGGCGTGCCTGGACTACTTCGCCGCCGAGTGCTTGGTGTCCATGTCCGCGGGCGCTGTGCTTCACCGCCGCCCGCTGGACCCCGAGGGCGCGGGCGGAGCCGCTGGCTCGGAGGTGGGTGCGGCGCCGCCGGAGTCCGCTCTGCCGGGTCCAGGGCCCCCGGGGCCCGCGTCCGTCCCCCCGCTCCCCCAGGTCCCCGCCCCCAGCCCCGGCGCGGGCGGCGCCGCGCCCCACCTGCTGGCTGCAAGCGTCTTGGCTGACTTGCGCGGCGACTGCGGGGAGGGCTTCGGGGAGGACTCGGGGGAAGCTCCGCGCGCCTCGTCCGGCTTCTCCGACCCGACGCGGGGCTTCGGCTCGACCCTGTGCTCAGAGCCGGCCCTGGCCTCTGGCGCGGTGGAAGTCTCCTGGTCCACGCACTCCTCCGACGCCCTTCGGGTGCCAGGCGCGCCTGCTGTCCCGGGAGTGCCTGCGGCCCCCGGCGGGGTCTCTGGCGTGGCCCCTGGCGTGGGTCCCGCCTCCGCCACAGGTACTGTCGCCCGTCGGAGGCCAGTTACACCTGCAGCCAAGCGCCATCGCTGCCCCTTCCCGGGCTGCAACAAAGCCTATTACAAGTCGTCGCATCTCAAGTCCCACCAGCGCACCCACACGGGTGAGCGCCCTTTCTCCTGCGACTGGCTCGACTGCGACAAGAAGTTCACGCGCTCCGACGAGCTGGCCCGTCACTACAGGACGCACACGGGCGAGAAGCGCTTCTCCTGCCCCCTCTGCCCCAAGCAGTTCTCCCGGAGCGACCACTTGACCAAGCATGCTCGTCGCCACCCAGCCTATCATCCCGACATGATCGAATACCGGGGGCGCCGTCGCACTCCCCGCGTCCAGTCGCAACCCACCTGTCTAGTGGACAGCTCCAACTCCGTCACTGGCCAGGAGCCCAGCCTCACCTCCTGCCGGTCTGACAGTCAGTGCTGTTAGTCATCCCTTCAAGGACGATCCCCAGGCTGTTGTCCCTGCCTTCTCTTTGCCCATCCCTCTCTCCCAGAATCATTAGGCCAAGGCACAGACTGGTTCCTTTGCTCTAAGGGTGGATCCAGGCAGTCACGTTGGACTCTGGGGAGGGATTGGGGACCTGTAAATAGCAGGAATTCTTACAACAGGCATATCATCCTAAAAGGGGGGAGGGGGAGGTTGCCTCAAACATCCCCCAGGAATTGGTGAGAAGGAGAGTCCTGAAGATTCTCCCTTCCCTGGAACCAGAGATGTAAAACTGGAATTCTTAGGTGCCCGAGGAGCTCGCAGTCTCAGAGGACTCTGGTGTCTTACCCACCCACCAGGGCGGACCTTGGAGACGGTGACAGGGGTGGCAGTCTTGGAAATATCCAGGTCTGGGATGGTGAGAGGCCTTTGGAAACAGAAATGATTTCTATTTCTGTGAACAGCAATGTTTACTAATTTATTTTTAGTGTCTTTTAAACAGGAATCCCAGGTTGATGGGAGGTTGATGTCCTCTATTGCCCAATTGCCCCAGCTACCTCTGCTCGGAGAGGTCATGTAAGAGTCCATGTAGACGTATGACGGGGAGATGCTTTTTGGTGTCTGGGGAGTGGTGCAAGGCTGTTTGCAGGTCCTGCTGCACGGTTTGGAACCCTGCACTTGTGTCATCGTCTTCCTTCCCATTTGGATTCCTATTTGGAGAGGGTAACTTCCTGGCTCACTCTGACAGTGAAATTGGTTTAAAAATTTGGAAACAACCATAAAAGCTAAATAAATTTGAAATGCATAAGCATGGTATAATATTTACATATAATCATACAGGTAATTAGGTAAACAAGGCATAATAACAAATGCTGGAAGAATACACACTTTGTAATACTGATTATCTAGGCAAGAGGAGGGAGAAGTTGAGTCCGACTTGGGAGAGAAAGTGACATTCAACTCTATCTGTAATCTTTCAATAAAAAACCTGAAGCAAATATGACACATATTTCACATTTGATTATTCTAAGAAGTAAACACATGACTGTATGTTATTCTTGATGTATATATATTCTTAATTTTCAACAGAAAAAGTACTGAATTACAAATAAAATGAGCATAATTCTCCAATATATAAGTAAAGCCTATGTACATCAAAACCCAAGCTCTGACCATTTTTAGATATTATCCTGCTTGCTTTTCTGTGTTTTTAATTTTTTTAAAATCAAAGGAGGCAGAAAATGAAAGCAATGAAGAAATGTTTGAAAAATTATACATATATGATTATAATGAAAGAAAAACCTCCAGTCACAAAACACCATATGAGCAATTCTATACCATTTGCTATGTTTTCTTACTTTTAATTTTTGTCAAAAGAAAAATAAAAGACGCCACCTAATTGGAAACGTGACTTTCTATTATTAAAATTGTGGGAGTCCATTTTAATGTGTTTATCTCGCTGCTAGTCTATAATTTATATTTCAGCGTGGAAATTTGTTTGGATGCCTGTGACAGGTTAATGCAGTTTAAACATGCATTTTTCTTTCGTTGGCTGAATAGTTAAATCGTTACTCAAAGGATTTTAAGTTTCAATTTCAATCATGAGAGGATTCTTTGCTTTTTCAAGGTTAAAAATGTTTCTGGGGCAAATGCCATTAAATAATGGGTACCTAGTGGATCTATTTAGGGAATTGGTACCGACTCTGGCTTAACAGTGGAACCGTTAAATGAGAAAACTTCTTTGGTGCGGACTTGGGGGTTAGTTTAAATTTGGTCTGAGAGCGGAGGACAGAAGTGAAATGCAATTCCAGCCCTCCTAACTAACGATCGTAATTATGAATCGCAAGACATGTCAGGTATTAGCAATTTTTTCCCCCTTAAAAAAAAGTTTCTCCGACTCCGCCGGACACCCAGCTGGCGGAGGACCAGCGGGCGAAGGGGGGACGAAGCCGGCAGGCTGCCCAGAAGTTACGATCGGGGAGTTTTCTCTTTATTAAAATTACCTGGCTCGCCAGCAGAGGCAAGAATGCGAAGACAAGATAATTTCCCAGGCTGTTAAAAATGACTTAGCCCGGTGGGCCGCGCGTTCCGAGGGGGTGTCCTGCGGGCCGGGGCGGGTCCGCCGCCCCCGCGGCTCCGGTGCGTCAGGGGCGCGTCAGGCGGGGCGGGCTCCGCGCGGGCGGCGGCGGCGGCGGCGGGCGGCGCGCGCCGGGTCTCCTGCTTCTCGCTCCGCGGCTGCGGGACGGACCCTCCCGAGAAGTCTCTCGCCCGCGGCCGGCCGCGCTCGGACGGCGCCCGCCGGCGGCCGGGCGGTGCCAGCATGTCGGCGGCCGTGGCGTGCCTGGACTACTTCGCCGCCGAGTGCTTGGTGTCCATGTCCGCGGGCGCTGTGCTTCACCGCCGCCCGCTGGACCCCGAGGGCGCGGGCGGAGCCGCTGGCTCGGAGGTGGGTGCGGCGCCGCCGGAGTCCGCTCTGCCGGGTCCAGGGCCCCCGGGGCCCGCGTCCGTCCCCCCGCTCCCCCAGGTCCCCGCCCCCAGCCCCGGCGCGGGCGGCGCCGCGCCCCACCTGCTGGCTGCAAGCGTCTTGGCTGACTTGCGCGGCGACTGCGGGGAGGGCTTCGGGGAGGACTCGGGGGAAGCTCCGCGCGCCTCGTCCGGCTTCTCCGACCCGACGCGGGGCTTCGGCTCGACCCTGTGCTCAGAGCCGGCCCTGGCCTCTGGCGCGGTGGAAGTCTCCTGGTCCACGCACTCCTCCGACGCCCTTCGGGTGCCAGGCGCGCCTGCTGTCCCGGGAGTGCCTGCGGCCCCCGGCGGGGTCTCTGGCGTGGCCCCTGGCGTGGGTCCCGCCTCCGCCACAGGTACTGTCGCCCGTCGGAGGCCAGTTACACCTGCAGCCAAGCGCCATCGCTGCCCCTTCCCGGGCTGCAACAAAGCCTATTACAAGTCGTCGCATCTCAAGTCCCACCAGCGCACCCACACGGGTGAGCGCCCTTTCTCCTGCGACTGGCTCGACTGCGACAAGAAGTTCACGCGCTCCGACGAGCTGGCCCGTCACTACAGGACGCACACGGGCGAGAAGCGCTTCTCCTGCCCCCTCTGCCCCAAGCAGTTCTCCCGGAGCGACCACTTGACCAAGCATGCTCGTCGCCACCCAGCCTATCATCCCGACATGATCGAATACCGGGGGCGCCGTCGCACTCCCCGCGTCCAGTCGCAACCCACCTGTCTAGTGGACAGCTCCAACTCCGTCACTGGCCAGGAGCCCAGCCTCACCTCCTGCCGGTCTGACAGTCAGTGCTGTTAGTCATCCCTTCAAGGACGATCCCCAGGCTGTTGTCCCTGCCTTCTCTTTGCCCATCCCTCTCTCCCAGAATCATTAGGCCAAGGCACAGACTGGTTCCTTTGCTCTAAGGGTGGATCCAGGCAGTCACGTTGGACTCTGGGGAGGGATTGGGGACCTGTAAATAGCAGGAATTCTTACAACAGGCATATCATCCTAAAAGGGGGGAGGGGGAGGTTGCCTCAAACATCCCCCAGGAATTGGTGAGAAGGAGAGTCCTGAAGATTCTCCCTTCCCTGGAACCAGAGATGTAAAACTGGAATTCTTAGGTGCCCGAGGAGCTCGCAGTCTCAGAGGACTCTGGTGTCTTACCCACCCACCAGGGCGGACCTTGGAGACGGTGACAGGGGTGGCAGTCTTGGAAATATCCAGGTCTGGGATGGTGAGAGGCCTTTGGAAACAGAAATGATTTCTATTTCTGTGAACAGCAATGTTTACTAATTTATTTTTAGTGTCTTTTAAACAGGAATCCCAGGTTGATGGGAGGTTGATGTCCTCTATTGCCCAATTGCCCCAGCTACCTCTGCTCGGAGAGGTCATGTAAGAGTCCATGTAGACGTATGACTGGGAGATGCTTTTTGGTGTCTGGGGAGTGGTGCAAGGCTGTTTGCAGGTCCTGCTGCACGGTTTGGAACCCTGCACTTGTGTCATCGTCTTCCTTCCCATTTGGATTCCTATTTGGAGAGGGTAACTTCCTGGCTCACTCTGACAGTGAAATTGGTTTAAAAATTTGGAAACAACCATAAAAGCACCAGAAATAAAAGGGTGGTTCAAGCTAGATACCCCTTCACCCAGAGGGCAAACCCAAGTGACTTTGGGTGAGATAGGTCCAAAACAAAACCTTTCAGAACTATTGTTAATATTCAGGGAAATAAGGACATGAGGTCCCAGCTGCCCACTCTAAATAATCTCAGGTGTGGTAGATTCTGTTCATTTCTTAGTGGCTAGCTAGGGGTTTATTTCCCTCCGGGTCTGTGCATTTTTGTTTCTGCAACAGGTGAGTTGGTGGTTTGGGGACGAGAAGGTGAGAGTGGCTTCTTCTAAAGAGCTGGTTGCCCTGGATTTCGGGAAGGAACAGGAAAGTGGAAGTTGTTAGCAGATAGGAGGACCCTTCTCTCCTAACCTTGGAGTCCCTCCAAGTAACACCCTCAGGACCCCTCTCCCCCAGTGCAGAAATTGAGTATCAACAGTATTTATTTATTTTCTATATGTATCTCTGCTGCTATGGATGAAATCGTCGGCCACTCTGCTTATGTATGTGTGAATTTGTATATGTGTGACCCTTTCACTAGAGATGGGGGCTGACAGGCATTTCATGCTCTGGTAAGGTTCCCTCCTGAATATCTTGTAATAGTACATCAATCACACTTGTGAAGGGTGCCATACTCTCAAAGGACCATAACAGGTATCTAGTTAAATAAACTGCTTTCTTCCATTTTACAAATGAGGATGCTGAAGCCTAGATAAGCTCAAAATCACATGCTTAGTTGCTGGCAAAAGCCATGACTAGGACTGGAAGCCATGATCTAGCCTTCTAAGTGATCCTTTCCCTCACACTGGTTATTCCACCTTCTCTCTCTTTGGGCCCTTAGTCAAAGGACACCACTCTCTCTGCCACCAGGATTCCTTCTCTCCCTGTCCTATCACTTCTATGTTTCTTCAAGTGTCCAGTTCCCACTAAACCCTTTGCCTATTGTGTTTAGCTCAAAGCAGGTTGAGTCCATTCCTCCTTCCATACCATGTAGACTTAGAGTGGGAATGACTCTTTGGCATCCTGGGAAAGATTTCGTATTTTGACCTGATCAGATGAATTTTCAGAGCCAATTTTTTTTTTGTTGTTGTTTGTTTGCTTCCTGGTCCTGTGCCTTCCAGCATCCTCAAGAGAGTGAGTGATACAAACTTGCATTGGGTCTTTGCTAAGTGCTCCTACACCAAGTGAGGGAAGGGTCCTTAGGAAGGGCCCAGAGGATATGGCTTGTGAACCTGAAGAGGTTCGGTGTTTCCTGAGGTGGACTAACCAGGGAAAGTGGAGCTCTCCTTGAGTAGCATATTGGAGTCAGAGGCCCCCAGTTGTGGAGGTGGGTTTTAGTGTTGGGAAGACTCCTCCCTTTGGTCCATTTGTCTCATCAGGTGGGACTGGATAGGAAGAACACTCTGGGTCCCCTTGAGAAATATGATTTCACCTTTGTCCCCTTCAGTAGATCTATTGGGGAGGTGGACCCATGAAGCTCACCATTCTGGAATTAAGCTCAAAAAAGCTTGACTTTTTCAACCACCATTTGATAAATATCTTTTGATCCTCAGTCTCCCAAGTATTGTCCTTATTTGGGTTCTTCTACTTTGGAGTCTTTCATCTGGGGATGGCCTCTGACAGTCTTCATGTGGCATGTCTTTCAATAACTCCTCCTCGGACTTGGGGTGGTGAGGAGGGAGACATCCAGACACTACAGTAGCCAGATAATGGAAGCAAGATTTGTCTTTCTTAGTCTTGGTACTGTTACCCTCTTCATTCCAGTGGCCAGACAGTTCTTGAGGAGCACCTAGTGAAGTGCCTTGGAAGGGGATTCCTAGTTTTATTGGTGTTTCTTTTGCTTCTTTTTGCTCAACAGATGGAACTCAGCTAGTAAACATCTGGGTATTGGTTGGGATCTGCCTGAACTTCTGGGCTCTTGTTCCATCTCTACCATCCTGTGTTCTGATGTAGGAATGACCTAGTAACAGAATCTATTAATAGAAGTCTTCCTGAAATCTGGGTTGGAAGCTGGAGATGAATTCCAGATCAGACCTTGGGTGTGAGGGAATTGGGTTCCCTACCCATGCTGGTAGTGGTGAAGAGCACAGGCCTTGTCCCTACCAATGGGGACAAGAATCTGCCTTTGTCCCAATTTCCCTGTTCTTCTCCAAGTAGGAAACCATATTGGAATATCACTCTTGGTCCCTTTCTCTACGTTTTACTCACATTTCCCCAAAGGAAGATTGTGTTCTCTGATAGAGACATAGGGAGGAGGTTCATTTTATACACACACACAGCTCTCTTCTCTCTTTTACACCTCTTTGCCTGCAATGTGTATGCACTCCACTCAAAACCTTCTTTCATGTGGTAAGCACACCTGCTGAGGCCCAGGCCTGCCTTCCAGAGGCAGTCTGAAGGGCTCCTCTATCTCCACTTTTGGGGCAACAATGTTTGTTGAAACATTCCAGGTAAGTGTTTCCTTTGAATATTCTCCTTTGGGTACGTAATCCAAGTGCTAGGAATTGGGAGAAGTAGAAGAGGTGGTGGAGGAATGGTATTAGAAAACCTGGATTTGTCCATAGATACAGCTTCATCAACAAAACACTAGTATTTTGATCCTCATTAGTCTGTTAGCTGTATCTTTACTCAGTTGAGAACTTAGAGGAGAAAGGGATATGATTAATTTTCCCCCTTAAGGTCCAATACATGTGAATATGCATTGACTGTTACATCTCGCAAAATAGACACTCTGACTAGATTAGGGTACCAAGTAAGATGTGCGGAGGTAGGACATCTGGTGTACCAGGGCATTAGTGCTGTACTGATCTTGGGCCTTTCAGTTTTTTGGCCCTTTCATGTCCTAGCAGCTTATGGTAGCTAGTGTCCATAGACAAGCTACAATTTTTTTAGAGGTACCAGACATAGGGCTTTAAAAAAGTAGGCTGAACAGACCACTGTCGCTGATCTTCATTCACACAGACACAGTTGAGACAGGCTTGCTGCAGAAATGAAATGTACTATTGAATGGAATAATTTGTGCTTCCTTTATTCTCAGCCAGAATCACAGATGAAAACTTTAAGGTACAATGATGTAAGTTCCATGTGTACTTCGGAACAAAAGTTTAGGGATTCTAGCCCTAAATTGTGCTGAGGATTAGCAGGTAGTGTAGGATCAGTTTCACCCAATTTGGTTCCCTCTTCTCTTGATGTGAATTACAACCTTCTGTGGAACCAGAGAGAGACATATGTGTGGGGCCAAGTTCTTTGATTCACATGAGATATTCAGAGTCACCTTGTATTTGTGTCCCAAGTTGGTGACAGGTATGTTGACTATATAGCCCTGACGGTGGAATTTCAGGGATTCAAACTGTGTTTTCAATCACAGAGGAATTGTGGATTTTAATGATAAATACAAAAAGAAGAATGCAAATGTTTGCTATATAGGAGTTTGAGGTAGAGAAAAGAGATGGCATTATAATCCCAAAAGCTAGGAAGAGTATTTTAAAAATCCAGGTGTGCCTGGATTCTTCTCTCCCTGGGAACCAGGTGTATTCAGGAAATCAAGTCGGAACCATATTTGTTTTAAATATATGTATTAGATCTTGAAGTTGGAAACAGAAGCAGTGGGAGGATAAAAACTGAGTAAAGAAAGATAGGTTGATTGAGCTGGAAGAAGAGAAGGATTTCTTTAGAAGAAAGAATGTGTTCTTAGAGGATAGAATTAACAATACAAATGAGAAAGACCAGGACCCAAGCAATCTTAAAGATGGGATTCTAAAAGAGGGTGGTGGTTTAGTCGTTATTAGGTGAGAGGAGGTAATTGGAACCCAAAGGATAATGCAAGCAAGCTCTCAGAAAAAGTAGAAATGCCTACCTCCACCAGGGATCTCTGATGAAGGGAATACCAAGAGGTACTTACCTGAACAGAAAATTATTTCTTCACCACTAATGTAAGTATACTAGATGGTTACAGAAAGTAAAAACATTATTTGTAACATTTTTAGCTTAGTCTCAGTGATACTACCATTGTAAATGGAATAGGATCACAAATATGGCTTGGAGAATGTATAGAGTCAGGTCCCAGGAAAAGCATAAGATAGATGAAACAAATGAAATATTATCAAAGTAATTAAATTAATATAATTCAAGAAGATGAAAGCATGATAATCTCAATTGGCTCCAAAGTAACTATTTGTTAAAACCAAACCCAACTTGTGATTTAATTTTAAAAGACCTTAACACACTATTAACAAAAAACAAATTCTTAAATTACTGAAAGGTATCCTCCAAAAGCCTACAGTAAACATCCAAGTGAATGTTGAAAGATTTCAGGTATTCCTGTTGGCCATTTGTAAGATAGAAGTCTCAACAAACTCCAGACAGGTAATCACATAAAAATGCAACAAAAATACAACCAAAAACCCATGCATTGGGAAATGTAAAAGCAAACCTCTATGTAACTCAGATAAAAGGGCGGTCACAAAGTTTAGAACTGAATGAAAACCAAAAGCATTACTAGCAGAACTTCTGTGATGCGAGAAAGGGAAAGAAGTGCAGCACTGGGGGAAACCCTGGGGAAAGGAGTATGGTCTAAAGCTTCAAATTTTTTAATAAAAAAAAGTTTTAAGTGAATAAACTAAGCTTTCAATTTCACGAGAAAAGGGAAACAAACAAATTCAAAGAAAGTAGGAAAAGACATTACCACAGACAGTGCATTCTCAATCGGGAAGATACTGCCCCCAAGGGAGCAAAAACTGGTTCTTGAGGGGTGAGAAACATGTTACATATCACAGTGGTTGGGTTGTGGCCCTCCAAAAGGCCATGCTTCATGAATAGATATACACTATATGGCTTAGGATTTGGAGTGGGAGTGATTAGGGAAAAAGAAATGTCTTAAAATTCTCCTAGAAGGGTGATAATAAGAAAAAGTTGAAAAACACTGCCATCGATAAAAGCAGAAGTTATCAAACAGAAAAAAGTGAGTAGAGTTGAGCTAAACTCTTTTTAAAAGCCTAATAAAAATAGATTTCTTTGGCAAATATGATTAAGAAAAAAGAAGGAATAAGAAAAGTTATCAGGAATAAAACAGGAGATAATATAATAACACATGAGCAGATTTTTTTATTATAAGAAAATAACTTTATATCAATAGAGCTGAAAAAATATGAATCTTTATAGGAAAATATACAATTTTTAAGTAGTCTACAAAGATGTAGAAAATCTGAAAATGAAATGGTAAAGTTCTATCCCCAAAAAAGGCACTAAGTCTAGGTGGTTGTACAGGCAAGTTCTCTAAACCTTTAATAAACAGATAACTTCCATCTGTTGTAAATGGGTCCAAATCATAGAAAAGCATAGAAAATTATCCAACTTATAATTTAAGGTAACTTTAGGACAAGGAAAAAAAACATTTTTATCTATAAAGATGGGTGTAAAAATCCTAAGTAAAATACTGGAAATTCTAGCTCAGCAGTGAATGCAAAAATAATGATTATGATCATGTGAGGTTTATCTCAGGAATGCAAGAGTAATTCAAAAGTAGAGACTTACTAATATTCACATTAATTAAAG